TCTAAAAATTTAACCAAATAAAGTTCATTTAGTATACTATAATATGAATCAAAAATCTCATTTTTTGTTAAAAGTCCTCAGAACCCATTTTTAATAGCAAAGCTCCCATTTGTTATTTCAAAAAAAAAATTTTTGTCGATTTGGTTCCTTTTCTCAGCACTCACCCCATATCATCCACAAATTCTTTCAGCAAGATAAGATCATCTAACAGATCTGGACTTCCAGTTTCTATCTTGCCTGAAGATCCTGAAGAGAAACGAAAACATATCATTGGGCTGGTGCTAGAGCATTTCCCTTCTCTATATTTAAGCAATAGTAGTGAACTTGATGAGCGATTTAATTTTAAAAGTTCAACGCTCTGTCCGTTATGTAAGGGGGACTATAGAGAAGAAAGTTTATGGGATGATATAAGAGGTACATAGGGTGCTAGTGAATATTGTGGAGAACGAACTTATCGTATCAAATATAAAGATCCTCTTAATTCTGGAACCCCAATAGTATCTATAAAAGCATAGAGTCTATAGATGAAAACTACGTTATGTGTGATTGATTACCTGAAATGCGCAGAAGAGATTTGGTAAAATTCTTGCCGAAGAATACAGGCTGTTTGACGTGTAAATCGCATATATATTTGCTATTTTTTTTCGACTTGTTACAATGGTAAAACAAGACAGTTTTTCATATTTTAACGATAAACTGATACCAAAAGCATTTATAACATTCAAAATGTCAGAGAAAAGATTGAGAGAATGACTACTGAAGTTGCAAAAGTATATTTTATAGATGATGCTGATGCTCTAATTAATATAACACTCAATCAAGTAGTGCAACATATGCTAATTGATATAATAAATCATACTTTGGACATATAGTTATGAGTTGTAGTATAATGGTGATAGGGTTTATCGGTTGGAAAATCAAAGACAACAAGCGATAAATATTTCTTAATATAGTAAGAAATGTGACATGCAAGAGAAATAACTAAATTACATCCATTAGTTAGGATAAATTTTAACATGCATCCTGGGCTATGACCCGATTTGTATTTATTTTTTTGTGTCCTATATCATGCTACCATTATATTAATAAAAATTTATTCTTGGCAAGTTCCCGACCAACAGAGATCATAAAGAAAAAGTATAGGGAAAAGGGTGAATGGGTTGCAGTGAATATTGTGGAGAACGAACTTATCATCTCAAATGCTGGAATGCTCTTCATCCCAATAGTGAATATGAAATCAGTATAGAAGTGAGATTTCATGTTATGCACAGTAATTACATCATTAATTTGGCGGTTAGTAAGATCATGTTTGTTTTTTTAATTTATATTTTTTACTCAGAGTTGTTTTTGATGTTAGAATGAAACAAAAATGGCAATTAAGAAATTAGAATCTTAATCGCCAGATAAATGGTATTAGTGCTGTATGTATAACCAATCAATTGCTATATGTTTTTTTGATATACAGTATATGTATATACAAATAGGAAATGTGAGCGATCTACGTTTTTCAATTTTTGTGAATTACATAACAGTGATCATTATAAACATATACGTCTAATTCTCTAGTTAATGATAAAATGTAGACTTATCTGGAAGAAAAAGGTAATAATGATCTTTAAAAATTTTGGTGGAAAGATGAAATAAATCGTATTGTCTTTTTCTGTTTTTGGCTAAGTGAAATTTATTACGCCAAATTTTACTCATAATTATACTGTTGCACAGACTTTACATGAGTGCAATATTATCATTATATTGAATTCTCGTTCATTGACGGCATGCCAGAAAATAAAACAACCGTCTGACAAGCCCAAGTTCAAAATACATCCGTTAAAACTAATCAAAACCCTTCTTTAGAAGAAAATAACTCTATAGATTCAACTAATAGGAATCAGACACAAGGTATTGAGAGATCAATACTTTCTGTTTGTTATTAAATACTGAAACCATTACAATTAAATTTTAGAGGTCAATTTGTCCTACTACTCACCTAACGATGATTTTAGTGACTCTGAAGAGTCTAAAGCGTTAATGGTTAAACATCACATTCGTATTGTATCTGACCGATTCTGTTTCAGTAAGTTTTTTTGGAATTACCAGACTAACTGTTCGCATTTCATTTCAAACATTTCAAAATTAAGTTTCTCTCAAGAGAATGTACGAAGAAATCCATGAATTTCCCGACCTCAAATACATGTTCGACCTCAAAACAAAAGGGCTCACTACTCCTAAAAAGTTTGTTGCATAGTGAAATGAGAAACATCCAGATTTTCAAATCACCGTTGATTCTATTAGGGAATGGAATTATCGCGAAGATGAAGATCCTTCCTGCTATAATCTCAACTGGGATGAGTATAGAGATTGAGATTAGTATATTATGAATAGATTGGCTTATACCATTTTTATGAATCAATTTAAGTAATGCAACTTTTTGTAATAAAGTACATATGAATATTAATTTCAAAAGATGAAATGAAAAATTTTTATGTAATCGTTATAATAAATGATTTTTTTGATTATGTTACACATCAGTTTTATAATAATGATACATATAAAAAATAACAAATTTGGACTAGAATTTATCGATATATCAGTCTATAATTACGATTGGAACGATCCTCATCTAGTGAAATATCTAATAGCCGACCATGTCTATATCCTATCTGGTGAGTAAGATAAGTTACGCCCTTTGCCTCTCTTCTAAGAAAATTTTGATATTTTTGTCTCTCAGCTGGTATTCCCTCATCAAAACTTTCTATTTGAAAAGTAGTTGTTAAATGATGTAGTATGAAAACATTCAAAAATAAAGAAAACAAATCAAACCTTCAAGTTTAATTATTTGCACATTGTTTATAAGACCTGTTCATTTTCCAACAATGCGCAATCCTCCCCTAGCACTTGAATATCATCTCCTAGTTGTTTGATTTCTGATCATCTTCCACACTGAATTAGGTTTGAAAACTATTATTCCATTATCATACTCACTGAGGAATTGGCCAGTTGTTACCGCTTGTCTCAGTCTATGATGTAAAGCTTCAGTACTGTAGCCAAGAGCCTCAACTTTTCTAAGCATTTGGCGATAATAATATTCACTCATTATTATCTCACAGGTTCCTATAATAATAATTTAAATGATAAATAATATGAATCATTCATTTAGAAAAATAAAATAGACAGTAACCTTGATACTATACTTCCTCTAAACTTCACGACAACAAAGTTTTTTGTATTAGAACCCAACCATACAATACACAATATCCCAATACGATCAAATTACCTCTAATTAATATTGAAGACAACGAATATCCAGAAAAAAAGCACAACATATTGCCAAAAAACTGGTAAAAGAACTAAGATGATAGGAAAAGATACAGCCAGAGTGATTCTGATCCAAACAATAATAGGATATACCAAGAACACGAAAATCAAAGCATAAAAATCCACATATTAAAAAAAAAATAAACGTTGACTGTGACTGGTTCTTGAAAAATAAGAATGTGAGAACGTGATTAATATTTTCTGTTACAGAATATATCGATTGATTTCAAATAATCTTTTTTTTGACTCATGTAAATAATGAAATAATATAATGTGATTAAAGTATAAAAAGCGTGTATATATCCCAATTATCCGCATATAGACACATTCAATTAATTTACCAACTGTAAGATCATAAATTTATCCTGATTTGCTGATGAGTTTGTTTCTTATGATTGAAAAAATTGGAGCAATTAAACTGATCGACTGATTAATTAGGACAAAAATTAAATAAATTAAATGAATTTTTTCATGCAGTAATATAGTGCAATAAACCCTAATGGTAAAAAAGAATCACAGTGAATGTAGCTAGGACATGTTTAAAATTTAATTTCATTCTATTATCATCCTTAATCTTGTAAAGGAGTAAAGAAAGAGATGCCATATGAATTTCTGAGACCAGAAATCTGATATTATTAATTCATCAAATGCATTAGCATTAAAGATGAGAGACGAAACTCAAAAAAGGCAATTAATAAACAGCCGAAACTATATTAAAACATAGTGAGGGGTACGACGAAACCCCGAAACCCGAAATTAGCTGAAACTATATTAAAAACATAGTAAGGGATATGACGAAATTATTTTGAGGGAGTTTCGGCTGGCATCTTTAATTAGCATATTCACTATATCAGCATTTAGCCCAGTTATGTGATAAAGTACTTATCACAGAAGGAGAAATATCATGTTGGTATCACTATGGAAGAAATTTTTTATTCCAGAAGGATGCTATATGTAACAAAAATTAAATTGGCGAAAAGAATTAATTGAGGTTAAAATAACAAAAATGATAACACTAAACCAATAGAATCCCATTGATAAAAAATGCATCTGAAAAATTCTTGCTGAAATGAGTGCAATATGCGGATTGTATATTATTTTTTTTTCTAAGAATAGATTTACATATATTCTAAACGAAGAAGCCTCATTTTCAGTTATTTTAATTTTGGGGAAGCTGTATTTAAACGATACAAGAAATTAAAATCCAAGTATGGTAAGGATGAATCTGAAGCGTTGGTTAAAAAAGAGGTTAGGGAGGCAATTCCCAAGTCAAAATGCTCTGATGAAACTTTGCGAAAAAGGACAAAGAGATCTAAAAAGATGTATAAGCTTTTTAATAGCATAGGTAAAGAAAAAATAGCCCGGATTAGTCATATGTCTTAAATATAACTAAGGATGAAACCAAATATGTAATAGCTAAAATTTTAACGCATAAGGTTTGACAAGCTTGGACAGCTTGTTCAGCCTCGGCCATCTGAAAATGTATTCTAATAATCAATAAAATGGTCTATGCCTTTTTTAATAAAATATTTTACTTAATTTTTCTTGATTGTTTTAAATCACTGCGTCTATATTCTTCTGTGTAATTCGATGAGCTCAGACAGCGTATCCAGTTTTAACCACCTGGAAAATAGTTCCCAGATTGTTTAATCGTAATGTACGGAATATGATTTTGGAAGATAAAATTAGCCGAATGCTTCTGCGCAATTTTTCAATCCTAAATAAGCAGTCCAGACCCTGCCATCATATTTTCGGAAGATAAATTTAACCGAATTTTTTTAAACTGCCAAAAATTAACCATATGTAGTTTTCTTGATCGCTGGTCAGTCAATCACATTTTTTTCCTCCCTTGATCTATCGATCTGTAGAGATAACTATTGGTCTTAATGTGTAGAAAATAAATTACTGAGCCTAGACACTGTATCTAATTACTACCATGTTATAGGCTATTTCAGAAGATAAATTTAACCAGATGTTGATCCCACTTATGCGTAATCCTGAACAAGCAGTCCATCATATTTCGGGAGATAAATTTAACTGGATATTTCTACGCAATTTTTACGAGCCCGGACTGCGTGTCCAGACTCTACCATCAGAAAATATAGGAAATATAATTATTTGTATTTAGTTGCTACGGAAAATCTGATTGGCTGATCATAGTGTTGTTAAATTAGCTTAGAATCTCGATCTTCTTGCCTTTATTCTCGAACTGGAAGGGCAACCCTTATCATGAAATCGCACCAATTAACAACCCTAGCCGATCATCTCATGATTTATAGAACTCGCTAATGTCTAGAACTATTGAAGAACTGTCGTAGAACTGGTAGGAAGCTAGGATGATACATGTGATATGATATATGTCATGCGAGGCTAATCCCTGTTAATCATGAGAGATCTGTACAAATCAGCTAAAGAATTTATATAAAATTAGCATAGCCGAGATATAGCCCTATATAAATTCCCGATATGCTTATAATCAAATAAAAATGAATCCGATATTTTATTATAATATAGTTGTTATAAACTGCTACAAATCATTAAAATCACTAAAAACAATATAAATAGTTAAATAGCTAAAATCAATAAATATTGTATATTCTGACACTTTTGTACATTTAAGTATAACTGATTCGCATGTTAACTATGATTTTTCTAGAATGCGTGGGAATGAGACTCCATTAGATTGAAAGAATTGAATTTGGAACATATTAATGATATATAGAAAAAATCATCTTTTAACTGATTATAATAAGAGATATCTTATTGCAAGAAAACAAACATATTTATTATATCAGTGTAATGTTTGGTTCAGAGTAAATATAGGAATATGTTATTCTTGTAATTAGCTCGTCTATTTCAAATTAGGTAATAGGTATGAGTATTTCCATGCATTTTTTATGGATAAGCATTGACGTACAAATTGTACTAGAAATGAATATTGTGATATGAGCTTTGAAGACTACATGAAGCTGAAAAATAATCCTCCACCTTGCTATTTCACAAAGAAAGCAATCTATCGATATGAGATGTGGTTGGAAAATGTATCAAATAGGATTAGACGTATCAGGCAAAAGCATAAGGTGCAAAGTAATATAAACACTATGCCTAGCAAGTCTTATTATATTTATAACTAGCAAAAAAATATCTGTATGAACAATACTTTCTTAACTCCTTTTCTAAAAAAGCCTGTTCAATATCAGAGTTACTATTCCCAAAGAGAATCTTGGATGGATAAGCCACATTCATTAACCCCTTATCCTTTGCCACCAAAGGCTGTTGCATTAATGGGCGGTCTTGAGATACCCTATGCGACATAGTGCAAAGTGCAGCTGAAATTTCGGCCTATAGATTTAAGAGAAGCCGTATCTTGATTGATGCTGAAAAATATTTTAATTCTGTTCGAAATAATGCAAGTAGGAGATAAAGTTAATATCTCTCAACTGAATAATAACATTATTTATTTCAACTATATTTAGCCAAAAACGTGATGCATAACTTATACTTATTTTTTGTATTATATAATCTGCATGTATGATCACCTAGTATACATGAAGAAAATCGCTATATATGATCTGCCTATTCTGAGTTAAATCCTCTAATCAATAACTATTTTAATAAAGTATTTTTCGAGAAGTTTAGAAAGATCTATGAAGCAGTCTTGGGGGTTCTTGATTGCGAGACAATATAACTATAAGTTTGAGAATTTTTATGCAACAGTTATCTAGCGAGCTTATAGAAAATACAAGAAAAGACCCAAATTTTTGGCAAAACAAGTTTAGGAGGTAGTGAGAAATGATGTCATTTCTAACGAGAAAAGTTTTTAAGTATTATTCCTCAGAAGATAAAAATCCCTAATTATAATGACTGGATAATAGAGAAGAAATGTTAATTATGGGAACGATTAGGAAATGTAGTAGATATACTTGTTATGAAATATTTATATCAGCAAGGCTATATTGTTATTCGAGGTTCATATTGGATTGATATGCTAAAATGGTTACGGAATCCTGAATATTACCTTATTGATAAAAAATCTAACAGTGAAAATATCATCAAAATTTTAGAATGTAAGAAATATAAGGGTAAAGCATCAGAACTAGAACGTATATGTGATTCACCAACATTAAAAAAATATATAGTTTTTTTGGGGAAGATCTTTTTACTATGAATTTCTCAGATTCAGATGATAATTGTGAGTTTGTACGCTAAATTTTTCAGATCAGTAGATCCTAAATATAAAATAATATATTGTCCAGTCACTATGCATGTAGGCAGTGTTGTCATGGGACATAGTTAGGACACTGATGGGACACTGATGGGACATTGATGGGACAGATGGGACATTTGGGACATATATGGGACATAGTTAGGACATATAGTTGGGACATATAGCTGGGACAGCAAATGCTTGGGACATAGGAAATGGACATCACTGCATGTGTGACATAAATTTCTGATCCATCTAGTGAAATGTACCTCCTACAGATTTATGCAGAATAAAGATTACGATCTGCTTATTTTAGATTAGCTCCTAAGTAACATAATGCTAATCGCACTAAAATAGCAATATGCCAATTAGTGATATCTGCATTGTTACAAAACATTAGTATACACGTCTCTCAAACTCTAGCGCGTCTCTTTTTATTTATAAAAGGCCATAAATTATAGAGGGTAAGTTTGTTATATGTATTTCTTATTTTGAGATTTCTACTTCTAGCAAACTAATAAAACATGTTTACTTCTACAACTTTCTCAAACCGCTTCATGTTAGCTGAAAACTGGGACACTAAGACCCTCATTAATTTCTTACGTGACCTGAACATAAATCTCAATGAGAATGATTTCAAGATCCTTCGTAGAGAGAAAATAGATGGTCAAATCTTCCCAAACATGACCGAAAAAAAGTTTATGAACGATGGTATGAAACGGGGACCTGCCATGAAGCTTGAAAAACAAGCTAAGATATTTAGAGAGAAATCAAGAGCCTCTGAAAAAGGCAAAATTGCATATTTTTGGCTCTTTCCATGTGGAGTATAGTCTTTTTAGCATTTCATATCCTAGTCAACTAATATGTTTAGGTACACTGAAAGAAATGAGACACATGCAGTATTTTACAATATATTATATATTTTCCGTGATGATCTGATAGCCTTGCAGGAGATTCTCGAAGTTGTTAGAAATCTCTTACTTAATAAAAAGGTATGTGTTTTCTATTTTGTAGGCCTGAACACACATTTTTTAGATATGGTATATTAAGCACAAGAAGCTTTCGCTTGGGAATATATAAGTCCTCAGTTATTGCAGTACTTTAGCATATTCATTCTGATTGATGTTGTGAGATTATTTAGCGATACTTTTGACAAACATCTACCGTTTTTGAAGGAGGATTCGGTTATGTACCTTTCTTTTGATAAAAGTTTACTGGATAATATTCCGTGTTTGGATCGGTCTTTTTAGGACCTATGATTATTACTTTTAGTATTACCATTCTAAAATATTTTCATTTCTTATTTCATTATCCCTAATGATGATACTTATTACTGAGGGGCTTTGTCAATCTATTTTTTATATAAGTCAATGGAAAAAAAGGTCGTAAACCTTTAGCTGATATTTCAAATCAGTAAGAAGAGATGATAGAAAAGCAGACCCCTTCAAAATCAGATTCATCAGTTTTCTCTGCTCTTATTACTAAGAAACGAAGTATCAGCAAAGTATTAATATTTCTACAGATATTCCATTTCAGAATGATGGGTCTGTAGATATTTTGAAGATTTTAAAGACTGCAGTATATGATTTAGACCAAGGTATAATAGCTCTAGGTTTCTCTCGTTCATACCAAAGTTCCAATCATTTGTATGTAAACTCCGAGCATTATATCAAAGTTCCAAGAGAAAGTACATATGATGCTGAAATGTACAGAGTTCTAGTAAATTGGTTAAGAAAGGTTCATGGATATGAGATCACCAGCCAGTGGCATCTTGAATAAGTTTGTGATGATGGGAATTACTATCACCTTTATTGTGACCTAACTATAAAGAAGCTCAATAGTCCCCATCTGAAAGCTCTTCTTGAACTATTGGCGACAGCATCAATTCCTAAACTAAATGGTCATTTTGAACAAGTTTTCAAGTATACTGAGCAACTTCGCCCTCAAGAAATCTGGATCGTACATTTCTCCCGTGAAGATTTTGTTGCATTTGACCCATACTGGCTATGTAAAAAGCTTTAGGAAAGGAGATTAAATGTCATCCACTTCTGGCACGATAAGGAGTTTAAAAATGTGAGGATGAGTGCCAGATTTCGGGATACTACTGGAAAGTTTTCAAAATTATAGATGTACCTATTCTTTCATAGAAGTACTATTATATTTGTATTATAATAAAAAATGACCCTAGTGGTCGATTTCATAAACATATATTTGCATGTATCAGATAATAAATTTTTCTTAGTAATTTTATCTTGACAGGTACTTTTTTTTCCTTGTACTTCTTCTGCAAAGTAAAATCCTGGTTACGCACTTTTTGAGGATTTATATAAATCAAAGGTTCTCCCATTTCCTTTTATAATCACAAAAAAGAATGCATTTCAGAGACCTTATTCAAAGCAAAGAAGAACGTATGAAGAATATAAAGCTAAGCTGGAGAAGGAGAATTATCATCTTCATAGTGAATTACAAACAGAGGTGAATACTAATTATCGAAATAAGAAACAGATTAAGGATCTGAAACATGATTATGACTGCTGTGTACAAGAAATCCAGACACTTAATGGAGAGATAGAACATCTTGAAAATGCTTCAGAAGAAGAAATATCAGAACTGAAGTCCAAAATCTTCAGCCTAAAAAATCAGTTATATCAAGCTAAGAAGGATATACGAGATAAGGAAAAGTTTATCTCTAGTTTAGAAAAGCAGTTAGTGGAATCTGAAGAACAAGTTGAGAGATTGTGATGATGAATCAAGACCATCTCATCACAGAAAAATTCTCCAGAGCGGGAAAATTCTCCAGACTTATATAATCCTAATACTAACTTAGAAATATCTACCATCACAGAGCTAGCAAATGCTATAGGTGGTTATATGGAAAATAGGACAACAGCTAGGGATATTCTAATAGAGCAAATAAAAAGGGCGACAAGGCAGATACGTCGAAAAGAGAATAATTTGCAGGATTTAGTCTATGAGCAAAGAAGGCGCTATGATGCAGAGACTGAGCATAATAATAAAATTATACGAAGGCAAAATGCTAAAGGAGTGAAACAAATGGTTATTGCTGACCTTTATCAGTTGCGGACCAATACTCGAAATCAAGTAAATAGAATGTTAAATAATATAACAGGAAAGTGAACCCGTATTGGTATATTGCTACAGGAAAAATTTGCCTTACAGTTATTATATCAGTGAAATGCTTACCACCTACAGAAATGCAGAGAAGATAGGGGATTGTTAGAATATAATCAAGATAGGCTCTATGAGCGATATGAGAAATGGAAAAATAAGACTCAAGCAGAGCATCAAAATATTTTAATTTTGCAGGCACAAATTTTAGCGTTACAGAATAATCATCTAAATCAAATAAACATGGCTTTACCAGCAGGGTTGCAGATGCCTGAATTACATAGCTTTGAACAAGATTATGAGAAGTATATAGATGATTTTATAGCATATATCAATTATGAAGGTATAAATGATGAAGTAAGAATTCATAATATACTGAACTAATCTGTAAAAGGAGAAGTATGAGAATGGTACCATAGAGAGTTTGATAACAAAAGCTGGGAGTTACAAAATGTACTTAATAATTCTGCCATAGGTGCTAATATTGGGGCCATTTATGATGCTAATGCAGTAGCTATAACAGGGGCAGTCGTCACTTTTCCAAATGTTCCACTAGGTCTAGTAGATACAAACATTATTCCAGCTCGAGAACTTGATGAAAATTGGACAATAGCTGGAGGACAACCAACTAATGCAATACCAGTTGTTGTAAATGCTGGAGGTGGTGTTCCTGTTATTCTTGCAGGAATTCAGTTTGGACAAAAGTTATATCGCATTAAAAAATACTTTCCATCTACTAATAAATATTTGAGAATACTTGAAATTAATACAGTCGACCCCCTCTATAGTCACCTCCTATATAATCACTCCCCTTCTTTAATCACATTATAGTTCAGTTCTGATTTTTTAAATAAGAAAATACCCCTTTTATAATCACATAATATATATAAATATAAT